ACACGCAATCAAAGCAATAAAGTAGTAGAAACATAAAGGTTCAAGATTAGTAGAAAAAAAAAAAAAAAAACAAAAAAAAAAAAAAAAAGAAAACTATAACTGATTATAATAAATATTGTTATATAATTACTGCTACTTAGTTAGACTATTCGATAAACAATTAGTACTAAATTGTTAATAAATTAGTAATTATATAATTGCTGATTTATTGCTAATTAGCAATACTAATTATTTATCAAATAGCATAGCCAAGTAGCAATGATTGTACCAAACAGCAATTATTCAGCAATATTTAATATCTAAAATTTTAAACTCTTATTCAAATTCTCTATTTATTAGATCTATTTGAATCTAAAACAACAAAAAGTACAAGTACATATTTTTCAACATAAAACTTGTTCTATGATATATCTTTTTAGTTTTTACTTCGCGGCTCGAACGCACGCGTGTGTTGAGCAAAATAATCGCATATATTATATAATCGATAACTAAATTGGTTTTCCCATTCGTCACGGGTTATCTGACGCGCGTCATGGAAATGTAATGCAAATTTTGATTGGTTAATTACGTGGCGTGAAAAACGGAAGTGAAAAAAGTGCCTTTATCATTATAGTATCGCAACGAATGTATAGGAGTGCTTTCAAAGCGATATTTTTATAACTGATAAGTGAAAACATTTCTGAGCTCTCCGTGTTACTTGCGTAACACTACCTTTAGAAATACATTAGCCAATCAAAGAAAAGCCTTTCATTTGCCGATTTTCAGATTATCTGTTAAAAATTCAATACAGACTTCTCCGTTATTAATGTTAACAGATTCTAGCTCCCGTTATTCCTCGCCGCACTCCAACCGTTCTACCGTTCCCTCGAAGCAAGCTGCTTCGGAGGCAACCCCTGCACTTGAACAATACTTTAATCCGCGAATGATTTATTTATGGTTAAAAAATCTCGAAGCCATTATACATTTATCACAAGCGCTTAACGAAAAATTAAATTCTGATTTCATTTCATTGGAATGGGCACAACATCGTGAGCTTATGAAGTAAGCTTAATTAGGCTTGTATACTCTTAATCTACTTAATTTATTGTGCACTAATTTAGTTCAAACTCAGAAATCACACAAAACACACGCGAGAAATAACGTCGAATTTGATTAATAGAGAAATTTCTTTAATATCAAGTTATGTTATCGAATACAGCTTTAGCTATGAACTAATTCAAGCTATTGTAAGTATCTTAAAACTTTAAGATCCTTTAATATATGATTTCAATAATTATTATAATTAATATTTATTTACCAAACTTTATATTTTACAGGGCATAATAATTTTTAGACCTCCGACTTATGTGAAAACTATTTGGGATACAGTGGCTGTATGTATCTAATTTTTTTATTGTCTTAAATCGCCATATTTTTTAGTTAATAACTTGATTATGCTACAATGTGTGTTTTTATAGGATGTTGTAAATAAATCTCATTCTTCTCAACAAAGCTCAGTTTTAGATTTGTCTGCAACAAACCTCTCTAGCAACAATATAATTCCGGCTTGTATGAAAGAAGCTTTTGATGGGTTAACTCAAATTGAATATAAGCTTGATCCTTGGGATTCAAGGCTCGATGAACTATGGAATGTTAATGTTAAACCGCCTCAAAAAGATTTATTGCCTTATAGTGTATATAATGATATTGATGATGATAAACTACCTTATTTGGAAGTAAGTTACCTGTTTTCAATGATAACTTCTCTTTAAATCATAAAATTTTCGTGTTTTTACAGTATCTGTTTCTTTTATTATGCAGTTTACAACAGAAAATTTTAAACACTGGGGTGTAAAAGAACCTGCGAAAGAATTTAATTATGGATGTACTTGTCGTAATAATTGTCGAGTAAGATAGACCAATTTGTCTTTGTCTTTAAGCTCTTCTACTTTTGCATTAACTTTATTTCAAATTTCCTTTTAGGATATTGAAGCATGCTCATGTATACAACATTGCGAAGGTAAATTCTTTAATTTCAGATATTTAATTTTTTTATTTTTAATTATTCTTCAATCATTAAACTTATATTCATATTTATTTGAATTATTACTAGCTGGATATCCGTTCAAAAATGGAAAATTAGTCAGATCTGACATCGGAGCAATTTATGAATGTAATTCTTTTTGTGGTTGTGATTATACTTGTCCTAATAGAAACATTCAACATAATAATATGAACGATAAAAATTTACAAGTAAATTTAAAATGTTTAATTGTTCGCATTTTAAAGCTATATTAATGTTTCAAATGAATTTCATTGTTATATTGTTTTTTTTATTATTAGATATTTAAAACTTCAAATAGGGGTTGGGGTGTAAGAACTTTGAAACCAATAAAAGAGGGTTCCTTTGTAACAGAGCATGTTGGAGAAATTATAAACTCAAGAACATCCATGCTGAGGTCTATTTGTTATGATAGATTAAATATGATGGCCTATTTTGATTTAGATTATGGATTTGATAGTGATAAGGGATCAAAAATTCTTTGGTATGTTATTCTAATTGTGTGTATATATATATTTGTTTATATTAATTTTTAATAATGGTGTTGTTAATAGTCTAGATTCGAACTATTGGTGCAATGTTTCAAGATTTATGAATCATTCTTGTAATGCTAATCTTGTAACTATTCCTGTAAATATATATTTGTTATTTATTATTGATATATTTGTTTAAATACATTTATTAATTTTTTAAAAAGTTTTTTGTAGAAACTAAAGACATGAGATTTCAAAGAATTGGGTTTTTTGCACAAAGGGATATTTCTAAAAATACAGAACTAACTTTGGATTATAGAATTCAAAATCCGGATTTTGAATGTTTATGTGGTTCTAAGTTTTGTAGGTAATGTATTTTATTTTTTTTTATTTTTTTTATTTTTTTAATTAGTTTAATATAATTTTAAATAATAACAAATTGATTTTTATAGATTTAAAAAAAATTAAATTTAGATAAGCATGTTTTGTAATAAATAAAAGTTATTAGTATTGGCATTAGAATATTTTATTATTTTTTAAAATAAATTTAAAATTTTGTTTAAAGAATTTATAATTATATTTAGTAGTTAATTTTAGAATATTTAATATTTATATTTAAAAATATATATTATATTTTATATATAATAATTATATTAATTAGATTATAGTAAGTGTATAGGTTTTAAGATTTAGTAATTTTAGTATAGTAGTTAGATTTTTAGACTACTATACAGAAATTTGGGATTTAAATTTTACTGTTAATGAATTTAAATAATATTTAGATTTTGAATTTTAATTAGTATAGCAAATTTTGTTTGTTTTTGAAGCTATAACTTTGTAAGTTAAGTTGTATTAAGTTAATCAAATATTAGTAGTATAATATAATATTATTATATAAATAAATCTTAATAAGATTTATAAGCAAGAGACTTGTATGATAGAAATCTTAAATAGTAAGATAGTATAATTTTCAATAGCTATATTAATTAATACTTAATCTGAAAAAAAACTATAGTTTAAAAAATATAGATAAACTAAGTATAAGTTTGTTTTATAGAAAAAAAACTATTGTAATTAGAAAATATATACTAGTAGTTTAGCAATATCTATTTAGTTTAGTAGTTAACTAGATTTAAAAAAATTTAATTTGTGAAATATCGACAAAGGTCTAGCGATCTAGTGTAGTAGATAGGTTGTCAGACCGCTATGCAATAGGTTTGGGGTTCAAATCCTTCTGTCGACACTTTGAATAATTACTCAAACCTTGTATCCAACTTACAGTAAACTCTGTTCGTTTCTGGGGTTATAATCCTGTAAATTACATTATACCAATATTGTCCAAATATTGGAAGTGTGACGGAATGTTTGAGTTGCGTTATATGAATAAATCGAGATAGGATCTATGAACAGAGGATCTGCATGATAAAAATCCTGAGTTAGATGAAGTAGTACAGATTTTAATGGTCACGCCAGTTAACGCTTGATCTGATAAAGATTTCTGAGTACAAAGATATAGATCGAGTGAGTGCGAGTAAGTTCGTGATATTAGGTGTTACAGCAATACCAACTTGGCTTGGCAGCTAACTAGATTGGAAGGATCTTTCTCGTGAAACATTCAGAAGGACACAAAAGTCTAAACTGATAGAGGGCCACAGCTGGAACTGGGTTTGTACGAACATCGAATAAAAGTATATGCAAGCTAGAATGGGGATATAGCATAGCATAGTTGGGTATTGTGATACCCATCTGTTAGGAGGTGTTGAAGTGGGACTTATTTGGATAAGACCTGGGCCCATAATAGTAAAGTTGTGACTAATGTCAGCTTGGGTGCCTTCTAATGAGAAGTAGCACAGGGTTTGGGTTAACTTTAAAGAATAATACTTGCAGTAAGTAGGATAGGGTTAGAGAGTTTAAATAGGGAATCTTCTAAGAGATTTCAGGTATGGCAGCTAGTGTAGAACCTTCAGGCAGACTACTTAAAATAGACAACCTAAAATTGTATATGTGGCTAGTTATACTCTTACAATATGTATCACCTCTGAAATTTACGAAATTAATAAAAGTTAAGCCAATGGCATTTGTATAAAGTAAAAAAAAAAAAAAAAAAAAAAAAAAAAATTTATAGAATTCTAAGAGTTTCAGAATTATAGAATTTAAAAATTAAAGGTTTAATTGTATCCTTTTCTTTAGATATAATTAGATTAGTTTCCTTTTGAATTTCAGCTAGTATAAGAAGTTTTGCATTGTAATATATATATTTATATTTAGAATTTTTAATATTACTTTTGCTGTATTCACAATACTTTTTTTTCTATCTATATTTATATTTTAGATTTTAATTAAATTATTGATAATATTTATATCTTTATTTTTTTCTATATATACTTTAGTTATAATAATAGAAAAGTAATTATAGAGATATTGATATATTAGTATTTGCATTTCAGAGGTGAGATTAAACAACTATTGAATTTGAGATGCATTAAGGGTATCATATAACTAAGTATTTTGAATATATTATATTTTGTTAATAGGATCAAAATTAAATAAAATGAAACTTGTAATAGTATAGTATACAACAGTATTATAGTCACAATTCAAATAATTTTTCATCTTTTTGTTCATTATCAAATGCTATAATAATTAAATCTTCTGAAAAGCTAGTAAATCTTCTTATTATTTAATAAACTTATTATAGCTACCAGAACTAATAAAATAGTTATTAATATTAATAATTGACTTTAACCTTGCTATAGAGTATTTAATCACTAATACTGCTAAATTAATGGCTGACACATATTTTAGATATCTTATTCCATAAATTATATTAATCACTATAGCATATTTGAATAATTTTCATCATCATATTGATTTTCATTTTTTTTAAGATAAGAAATTCAATAAATTTTATAATAACTTAGTTTTGTTTACTAAGCTACTGAGATAGTAAATATTTTAAAAGATTATCTAAATAAAATCAATTGCTATCTTTAACTAAATTGGATATATTATCATATAAATTTTTCTATTCCTTTTTGGTGATATCAATTATAGCTTCAATATGATCTTGTTAATTATTTAATCTTTTGTTTAATTTCTTTTTTAATAATTTATTTTCAGATAATAACTGTCCGTTAATATATTCTAATTCATTAATTTTATTAAAAAGTTTTTTATATTTAGGATCAGATAAATATATTTGAATTTCAAAATTACTAAAAGTTTTTAATTTGATATTGTTCTTTTTTTTAATATTTTCTTATAATTATTAATAAAAGAATTTTTGATAATAATCTGATTATATTACTTTTCATATAATAAATAATTTTCTAAGAAATCAAGTATTAAACTTAATTCAAAAAAGTACTAAGCTACAATTATAATTTTGTTTGCTACTATTTCTGCTGATACATATTACTATCTCTGATTTTCTTTAACTTTATATTGTATTAGCTAGCTATCTGAATATTTATTTGCAAGTAAATTGAATATGCAAAGTAAATCTTTAGCTTCATGTTTTGAAGTTACTATTGTTAATTAGTATAAACAAACTGTAAAAAAAAAAACTGTAATATATTAATTAATCTTTGAATATATTTTAGTATAATACTTACTAAATAACTAAATAATATTACTATTTTAGATAACAAATAGTGATAGAGTTAATTAATAGAGAGTATAGTAATAAAGAGATAAAGAATATAAATAAAAAACTTAATAAAGTTGATATATGCTATGATATACAATTAAATGTTTAAAAATTTTAGTATATATATAAAGACATAATAATGAATTTAAGTTGAAATATTTTTATAAATTAAGAAATAAAAATTAAATAAATATTTTAAGATAAGCTGTAATGATAGTTATAGAGATTTGTAGCCAAAATAAAAATATAAATATTGAATTCAGTTTTTAAATTCACTTTTATTTTATTTATATAGTAGAATTAAATTTGAAAAAAACTTTATTAAATATTAAAAAACTATAGTTTAAATATATTTTAATTTCTTAGTTATCTATTACTATAATTAAATAAATTTTTATTTTTATTCAAAAATAAAAAAACAAATATAATAAAAAAAAGTGCAAAATAAAAAATCATTAATGAGTTTTAATGAATTCATATTTTTTGTATTAATTGAAAAACTTTATTTTACAATTAAAAGATGCCTTTTATTATAGATTTATTGATGCTATTAAAGAATTTTCTTATGCTGTTAAATAATTTTTAATATATTAACAATTCCTTGTGCTATTCTTCAAACTATTAGTATGAAAGAAAAATTGATTCATATAAATATTTTTCACAAAAAGTGTATAGTATAGATTTGTAAATTGCTATATCTAAAGATTTTTTCTTATATATAATATCTAAATTTTAGACTAACTAACTAAATAATACTAATACTAAAAAAAATACTAGAAATCAAAAATAGAAATAGTAATAAGTAATACAAAAAAATATCTAAAATAAAAATAAGACTATAATACAAAAAACTTAGAAGATAATAATA